AGATACATTGGGTGTGGTAGTGTCAAATTTCCTCAAATGGTTATCGTTTCTATAATCAGAAGGATTTCAGCCATGTGCTTTGGTTTGATGCACTATTTTCCTTAATACAATCCATAGCTGTGATGCAGACCATTTATTCACAGCACATCCCTCCCTGCAGCTGCTGCTGGGCCTGTGAGATCCCAACCGCGTCTCAGTTTTCTACCCTGAAATTCAGGGTCTCACTCAGGTGTTCAGTAAATACCCACTGAAATTCTACACTTGGGAAGACACCTGCTTTTTTATAATGTAAAATGAAAAAACGAAGAATTTTTCTAGAAGAGGGAAAGATCATACAGAAATTGGTTTTGAGCCTAGAATAATAAGCATATGGGGATATCTAAGTATGAATGTCTTCCCCTTTTGCCAACAGAACAAGGGAGCCCCTCGGTATTCGTGCCATTTTCTTGTGCAGCCACCAGAGGGCAGTGTGGGACTGCTTATGACAATGACATTGATCCACTTCAATACTTTTAAAGCCTAGCATTCAGAACAAGTTTTGTTATCTTAGGGAAACTTTTTTTTATTGTTTATTTGCTATTATTCTTTAATATCATTTGGAAATAATGAAAATTTCATACATAAGCAAATGTAAGGTTATCCCACTAACTGGGAGATGTATGTCCTTACAATGCAGACATGTAAAATTATGAATGAATCAGTGAAGCTGGGTCTTAACCAAACAAAATATTAAAAATTAACTGAGTATGAATAAAACAGCCAAATTTAAGAACTAAAACTAAAAGTATTAGAAGAAAATGTAGGGGCAAATCTTGATGACCTTGGTTTTTACAGTTTTGTAAACATGTCACCAAAAACTTTAGCAGTAAAGGAAGAAAGAAAAAAAAAAACAGATAAATTCGGAACCAAGAAGATTAAAAACTTTTGTACATCAAAAGAAACTCCCAAGAGATGGTAAAGACAGCTCATAGGATGCCAGAAAATACTGGCAAATGGTAAACCTATTAAGGATTTTGTACCAAAAAAACATAATGAACCTTTATAACTCAAGTACATAAACACAAACATCCAACTAAAATGGGCCAAGTACTTGTACAGATATTTCTCCAAAGAAGATACGTGAATGCCAAAGAAGCACATGAAAGATGATCAACAGCATTAGATATTAGGGAAATGTATCGAAACCAACAATGAGACACCGGTCCACACCACTAGGATGGTTATAATTAAACAGCAATAACAGTTGCTTGAGTGGCTTGAGTGAGGTTTAAAGCCTGGACAAACCCTCTGTGACGTGGGACTTTGTCTCTGGGCTCTTGACTCTGCAAGTATTTCATCTTCATTGGAATCATTACCTTTTTCTTTCTTCTTACACTCATTGCTTCTTCCTCTTCATCCTGAAGGCAGCACCCTCCCATTAATGGCTTGGGACATGCTTCCCACCCACATTGGTCTGACGTTGACCATGGCATGGTTCTGTCTCCCATGGGGGCTGCCCTCGTGCTCTCAGGCTCCTCTGGGTCCTCTGTACTGACCTGACTTCTTCTGCCAGTCCTGATTGCTTTCAGCTCTCCTGGGTGGCTTAGCAGAAAGCCCAGGACTGCAGAGAACCAGAACCCGTCTCTGCCCGAGCTATCTCCAAGGGGGATGAAATAAGAGGGATGTTTCTAGAACAATGCCCCACATGACAGCTGAGATTCTCCAGCAGTTAAATCAGAGGGAGAAACCTAAAGGGGAATGGAGGAGCTAAAGCCAGGCTGGGGAAGCAGGGTTCCCGCTCGCGTTCCCTACCAGAGGGGATACCTTGTGTGGACAGGGGGACAGTTCCCAAAGAAAGGCCACCATGGACATGGGACGAGGCCTGCTCTAGCTGAGTTCTTCCTGTAGCCACCAGAGCTCTGGGGACCTTTTCTCAGGATGTATGTTTAAGGGTGGCCTTTTTTCTTATGTAAGAATCTCTAGGGAAATTTCCCTGAAATAGATTCTTGGGCCTTATCTCCAGCGACTTTTAATAAGTATCCCAGTGACTCGTATGCATGTTCTTTAGCTCTGTGTCTAGAAAGGTTTGGGATGCCTTTCAGCTTCGTGTTATTCTAGTTAATCATCCCAGACCCTAGTGGTGAGAGCTGCCCTATTTTCACGTGAGGATTATAGCCTAGAGGAGGGTAGACAAATTAACCTTTAAAGCATCTCTGGCATTCGTAAAACTGCATTTAAATCTCAGACTGCCTGTGCAGAGGCTGTGCTGTTATTGCTTCTGACTTGACCCAGGGTAGAATTTGGTTGGGACGGTGTTGGCATAAGACATCTCTGGTAAAAGTGAATTATTCCTAGTGACACGTAATGATTCACTTGACCAGTATTTGCTGTTTTCTGTAGCAGGTGTTCGTGGAGACACTGGGGGACATGTCGTCACCAGGGCGGACAGAGTCCCTGGTCTGCTGAAGATCATCTTCCTACTGAAGAGACACACGATTTATAGATAATCACATAAATATACTTCTTTTGTGAGTGTGTTACATATAACTTAATATGTTGTGTTCCTTTGTCGCCTTAGACCAGTCATTGATTGAAAACTGAGTGTAAATAATAGAACCAGGTCAGGCATAGTGGGTCCTGCCTTTAATTCCAGCACATTGGGAGGTCTAGGAGTAAGATGACTTGAGGCCAGGAGTTCAAGACCAGCCTGGAGAACATAGTGACACGGCATCTCTACAAATAATAATATTAACAATAATAATAATAATAATAAATGAGCTCTGTGTACTGGTGTGCATCTGCTATCACAGCCACTCTGGAGGCTGAGGCAGGAGGATCCCTTGAGCCCGGGAGTGTGTGGCTGCCTTGAGCTATGTTCACGTCCCTGCACTCCACTCTCGGTGACAGAGGAAGACCCTCTTCTTAAAGAACAAAAAAAGACAAAACACAGGACTAAGAACTATAGAACTATGATAAAGACCTGTCCCAGGAAAGAGCCATCAGAGATTTTGCTGTTTTCTTTTTTTTAGACAGAGTCTCACTTTGTTGCCCAGGCTAGAGTGAGTGCCGTGGCGTCAGCCTAGCTCACAGCAACCTCAAACTCCTGGGCTCAAGTGATCCTCCTGCCTCAGCCTCCCAAATAGCTGGGATTACAGGCACGTGACACCATGCCAGGCGAATTTTTTCTCTATATTTTTAGTTGGCCAATTAATTTCTTTCTATTTTTTTTTTAGTAAAGACAGGGTCTCACTCTTGCTCCAGGTGGTTTCGAACTCCTGACCTTGAGCGATCCTCCCGCCTCAGCATCCCAGAGTGCTAGGATTACAGGCATGAGCCACCAAGCCCAGCTGAGATTTTGTTTTAACAGTGGAAATATCCATGTTGGATCCCAAATCCCGGAAGTTGAGCTGTGAGATCCTGGTGGGAGAGTTCGGAGCTTTGGGCAGGGAGAGCTAAGGCCCAGGCGTGTGAGGTGGCCCTGCTGCCATCAAGTGTCATCCACGAAGGGAGCTGGGAACAATCTTAGTCCTTCTGGGCCTCAGTTTCCTCATCAGGAAGTGAAGGATCCTACTGTCCCTGTGCGAGGGACCTTCCTGCTGGGTTTGTCTGAGTCTCTGGGCCTTGAGCTATGTGGTAAAGGTGTCCTGGGACCTGGAGCTGCTACCTGACCTTGGTCCCTACTGGGAGTGTCCCCTGTAGGACCCTGAGCTGAGGCCACACCCTGAGAACTCAGCACGGAGGGAGCAGATGGAAGGAGGAGAGCCAGCAGGTTTGGGGATGAGAGTGACCCAAACCAGGACACGGTAATGGTGGAGCAGGGTGAAAATGAGGACAAATTGGGTTCAGAGATCAGGGGTCACCGAGGGACGCCTGTCATCACCCAAGCCCTCAAGGGGCAGCCAGGGCTGAGCAGTGGGGATGGGAGAGGAGCTCATGGCACAGGGACCCTGGGCACCTGGCCACGGACACCCGCAGGCTGGACTCAGAGCTGGTCCACACTGACGGAAGCACCAACTCCAACAGGGGCAGGAAGTGACCCTGAGACTCTGCCCAGCCCTGGCAGCCTCCACCTCAGGGCTGCCCTGGCAGTGGGCACCTCCACGTCAGGGTGGGCTTTGCAGAAGAAGGGCTAGACACGCTGCTCTAGGCCAGCGACCCAGGGACAGGGGACCCTGCACATGAAGTATGACACCTGGCCTGTTCTCCGGCCCCGTCAGGTGAGAAAGGTCTTGTGGCAGCCCAGGAAGTGGGTGGAGAGGTCACAGACACGTTGTCCCCATGACAGGGCAAAGAGAAGGGAATTCCTGAGAGCAGTCCCAGTGCCATCAGACCCCCACAGGGGACTGTCCCCGGGTGTGGATATCGTGGGGCAGGGGTCTCTCTCTACAGAAGGAGACGTGCAGCTCCCTGGCAGGAAGCAGAGTGTCCCTCACAGGTCACTTGAGGAAGGCATGCAGAAGGGACGGCTGGAGTTAGAAACCACTTTTCCTCAGTCACCGATGCCACTGCTGAGACCCCGCAGTGCTGGGCCCGAGCTGGGGACCGAGACCACGGAGACGAATGACACTGTATCCCAGCGTTCGAGCTCTCAGGCTCCTAGGCTGGGAGTCGTGACAAGTGTGGTGACAGTGAGGGACGGTCCCATGCGCCGTGGGGTGAAATCAGTGGCTGTCCTGGTCCCCTTCTGTTTGTGTCCAGCAGCTGGGTGGCCCCTGTGGGACACGACCCTCCTGACCTCCCAGGACGCCACCAACATCTGCCCCCGAGGTGGTGTCAAGGTCAACACTGCCTGCGGAGGTCTCCAGAGAAACCTGCTGACACCAGTTGCTGCTGCTGTGTCTCGGCCACCCGGAGACCCCATGAGGCAAGTTTAGTGGGACGCGTGAGTCCGCAGAAAGGGGACGCTGGCCCCCGTTCCTGCCGCTCAGTCAGACGCTTTCCACACTTTCCCAATCTCCCGTCACATCACAATTAATTAAATAACAACTCTAGTTTTAGAATTCCAGTAGCTCATGATTTATTCTCAGATCTCACATCAAAAACGACTGCGGAGGGAATAAAGCAGGTTCCACGTTTGCAGGGAACAAGCAGGGCACGAGGGCTGAGCCGCTTTCTGTGTTCCTGTGCTTGTGGCACATCGTGACTATTGTGCTCAGAGACACAGAGACCCCCCCACACCCCTAGTTTCACCCCTGTGTCCACCCTGTCCCCTTCTGTGAAATCCGACATCTGTCCCTCTCTAGGGCCGTTGAGCTAAGTTAGTGGAGCTCAGCGAGGGCAGTTACGGGTCCCTGTGGGCAGCGCCCTGTGCTCGCCACGCTGGGGAGCAGAGGACAGGAGCCCCGGTCCCCACTGGGAGGAGCTGACAGTTGTCTGCTCGAACTCAGCCAGGGCCGTGTGGAGGTGGCAAATCAACAGCTCAGCCCTCAGGCTCCCTGCTGATGAGGAAGATGATGATGAAGAGCAGTGACAGCCCTGGGCTTTATGCTCCCTCCTGACCCATGTCCAAACCTTGTGGAGAACGTCCTGCAGAGAGGGTCCCAGCTCTCCATGTCCCAGTTGAGTGTCACATCCTCAGTGTGGGTCCTCTCCATGTAGCTTATATGACAGATCAGATTTAGACTGTAGCAACAAGAAGAGAAGCAGCGCAGTGGCGTGTTAGACAACCTTGGATGGTGTCTGGCTGGGCAATAGGTCTCTACAAAGGTCAGGAAACTGCTCAGAAAGTGAATCTTTGGGGAACACATCGGTGAGCTGGGATCAGTGTCCTGTGGGTGGGAGATACTTGATGGCATGTCACACACAGCCCTGGTGACTTACGGAGAAAAAACATTCTCCAGTTTTCCCAAATGGTGGCCCTCTACACCAGGTCAGAAGGTCTATAATGCAGCAAATAAGCTAGAAAAATGGCTCTGCCTATAGGGCCAGGGAATGACATGGGTCCCATGGGGGTGACACAGGATGAGCCAGACTGGAACCTTACGACAGTGGCCAACATATAGCACATACACTGGCTGCAGGCTGTGGAGCTGTAAATGAGCTGCTTAGAGAAACAGAAATATTATCTTTTCCAAAAACGCGTTTGGTGAAAATGTGGACCCAGTGGGCACTGAGGCTTAACAGACATCTTGAAACCAAAACCATCCACAGCGTAGTGTGGGGATGGTTTAGGCTATGAGGGACACTTCCAAAAATGGCTGAGCAGTCCTCCTTCCTTCACTCTGACGTGAATGACCAGGGGCCCACGATGGCAGGAGTTACACCCTCAACTCAGGCAGCTCCACCAGCTAAACTGCAGGGACCCAGGCTATGGGTGTCTCCCAGATCTCAGGGTCACCAGACCTGGGTGGATGGAAGCCAAGAACGTGAGGAGGTGGCTCAGGGGTCCCTCTCCCCTGCCTGCCTCCCCTCCTCACCTCAGCGTACCTGCTGTGTCTCTAAACCACATTACACGTGGACACCATGGATCCCCATCGCCCCAGAACCATGACCTTGACCTTTCCATGCTCGGTTAGTGGGACTCAACCACCGCTCAACGGTTTCAGGTCAACGCACACAGATCTATGGGACAAGGTTCCTTAAAAGTGCTCTGGATCCCTGTCCTGTGCAGAATGAGAGTGACCTGACCAAAAACGTGAAACCTGTCGTGAGGTTTACAAGTCTTTTCAATGCAGACGGTCACTCATGTATTCAAGCAGCTGCACATAAGCTAGAGTAGTCACTGTGAAAGCTGGGAAAGAGAATACAAGGGAGTAGAAAGAAATCCATCAGCAACAAGTGTCAAAGGTAACTTTCGGTGACATGAAATAACAACCCGAAGCAGCCCACCCAGAGGGGAGGACGTAGGTGGTGGGAAGTCACACTTGACATAGATATAAGGACAGACACAGCCCCCTGTGAAAAGACTGAGCCAAAGTAACCCTGGAATGCAGCAGGAATATTCAGACAGGACGGAAGCCATATGCAAAAACTAAGTGTTTGTTCACTTATTGTCCTAAACTACATTTTGTTCTAGACTTTCTAATGGATTTGGCGAGATGGGAGATGATACAGAGAAGAATGCCATGGGAGATCTACATTTTTATATTGCAAACGTTTGACATTCTTTAATTTAGGAAAAGTCCTGAGATTTGTTTTAATGATGAAGAAATAGTGGGGTGACTACTTACCAACCATGAAGAAAATAAAACTCGTGGGGAACCTGTTTCTGCCTAGATATTTCTGTATAGACACGAGAATGGACAAGAGGAAGATGCTTAGATTTACTGAGAAATGAAGGGGTCTGGGGCGTGAGCACATGTCTACACCATGCTGGAGCATGGCCGCTCAGGGGGTGTCCCCATCAATGGTGTCCCCTTTAGGCGAGGCCACCTGGATCGTGTAGCGGCATGGCCAGGCACCTGGGGAGCAGGGGCCCCTGACATTCCATGCACCTGCACGTGATTCTGTTATGACAACCGCAGACAGTTATCCGGCGCGCTGAGCTCACGCCCTCACTTTGGTGGGAGTCTGAGCTGCGGGCAGTGCCTTTGGCACCGAGCTCTGCCATCTGGAACCCGATCCACTGCAAAGCGAAGGACAGTCGAGGTCTGTGGGGTGTGGATCCTGTTTTCCAACAGTGAGTTAAGAAGCACAGTGTTGGTCCTCCCTCAGTCCCCATGAAACCTGTTTGATTTCATTTGTTCTTCACCCGTCCCGTGTTTGGGTGTCTTCTCCCCGGTCCCTGGCTGTGCCTCTCCTGCCACGGCCAGAAGCATGGCAGGGTCTCTCTGCCCTCTGTCCAGGCAGGGGCGGAGATGGACGTCCGGGACAACACCAGGGAACTGCGCTCCCGGCTGGCAGAGGCTAAACAGCAGATTCGAGACCTCAGGGAGAAGCTGAATATTTCAGAATCGACGGCTTTCTTCCCGGCCAACCGGCTGCAGAAATACAGTAAGTTCTGTCGGTTCAGCGTCCGCACAGTGACGAACGATCCTATGTGTCTCTCTGAGAAAATAAAGTCTCTAGGCGTGGTGCTTCTCTTCCCTTTATCAAAATAAATTCCACCCTGGTTGTATTCCTAGAAAGGGAAAAAAGGGTATTTTAACCTTATTTTTGTGAGGATGGAGAAACTGAGGCACAAAGAGTTTGGCCACCATTCCAGGTGAGGAGTAGGGTGGGATGTGGGGTAAAATCTGAGTTATTTATTCCTGCAGCTGCCAAGGAAGTGCCTGGGAGTTTGGGCACCAGCTACCCTGGTTTGTCTTAGGAGCCTCTGTACTGTACCAAATCCTGCAGTCACATAACGTCACTGTTGTAATTTCTGGGACTGATGAGCTGCCATTCAATTCAAGCTTGTGTTAAGGCCCAACAGGAAAGAAAGCACTGAGCTGTCCGCTGGGGAAGGTGGTGGACACAGCCCCTGCTTCATGGAGCTTCCAGAGTAGAGTGCTCCTAGTGACAGTTGTGACATTCCTTAGTGACCCTATCCAGGGAGCCAACCCTGGTGGGAGGGAAGCTCTGCTTCCTGGGACACGGGTTCTACTTTGAGTCCAAGAAAGTCATTTGAAACTTAGCAGGAAGGTAGATGGTGCCTCTGGCTATGTCAGGGAAGCTTTCCCACCCTGTGTCCCCTGAGCTGGGAACTTTAAGAGACACAGGATGGCCAGCAGGTGCGGGTGGACTGTGACAGTCTGAGCTAAGAGATGTTGGCCCACGTGTGAACAAGGGATGAGGGGGAGGAGAGCATCAGCCCCTGTGACAAGCAAACCAGTGTGGGGGGTGGGCCCCCACCCCCACCCTAGTCCGCCTGGCCACTGCCAGCCCTTGTCCTGCACAGGAAGAGAAGCTCAAGGGACTGAGGGATCCTGGGAGCAGGGGCAGGTGCACACCTGCAGGATCAGGGGGAATCTTGCAACTCTGAGGCTGAATTTGCATCCTTCTCGTATGAAGTATTTTCCAATAAATCAAAAAGTATTTTTTTAATCAAAAGAAATTAAGAGAAGAATAAAAATTGAAGCCTGTTATGAAAGTGAAGAGATGAGTTCTAGTGAAGAACAAACTGTATTTTATTAACACCTTTCCATCTAATCATAAGCACATGAAATATTGTTAAGAGGAAGAAGATGGAAGAAGGCTGAAGACCTATTTCCTCAAATGGAAATGTGTACACACAGTGCAGTGTGTACAGCAGGGACCATGGAAAAGTCTCGGGCGCCAATTCAAGTTGTTTGTTGTCTCTGTGCCTCAGTTTCCTCCTCCATTTATGCGGTGCTAACCCAGCACCTATTAATTTGAGTTGTAATGAACATTCATTAATTCTTGCATAGCTTTTACAGCAGAGCCTGACAAGAGTAACCACTGTGAGTGCACAGTTCTCTGACTTCCAAGTTGACCCAAGTCTCACTAGTGTGTGGAATGTTCTCTCAGGTCCTTGTGGTCTAATGCCTGATATTTCACCCAAGCGCATCCAGATACGATTTTTATCTGGGAGAGGCTGCTGCGTTCTTCACATTCCCAGCACGAGGGAACCGCCAGTCCTGTGGTCCTCGGGGCCTCCCAGCTGTGCAGAAGTCACTGCGTCACGCCCAAGCAGCGATTTACGTCACAGACTGCACGGCTTGGTCATGTGACCCCTGATCAGAGTCAGACCTTGAGGGATGTGAACTCTACTCTCTCAAACCCCAGTTCAATTTTTGTCAAGTAACTTTTTTGTGCCTTTGAGCTTCCCTTTCCTCATCTTCCAATAGGGGATTATCAATGCCATGGAGGTGGGAGGTTGAGAATTAAAGTCCTAGAAATCCACACATAGAACCTGGTACTGGGGACACTTTGTCCCTGGGATGGGCCCTGCCTCCCTCCCCGTGTGTAGTGGCCACAGTAGCGTGTCCTGCTTCCCACTGAGGCAGGCGTGTGTGTCTTTTCTCAGAGTGTGAGGAGTGTGGGGACATCCTGGAGGCCGTGCTGGGGGAGAGGCTGGATTTCCGGGAGGAGGAGCGGGCGGGACGCCAACCCTGGAGGACAAGCCCAGGTGAGGGGACTGCGTGCGGGGCAGGCAGGTGGCAAGTGTGAGTCTCTGAAGTGGGCAGCTCAGCGGGGACATCTGAGAGCTCACCTGGGCCAGGAGAATGGCAGGAATTGACGAGGCAGGCACGTTTTTCACAGATATTAATAAAACAAGACAAAACAAAACTAATAATGTATTCCAAGCTACAGTTGTTCCTCAGAGCCATGGTTTCTCCTTTCAAACAAGAAATTATTAAGCTGAAAGTCACATAACATAAAATTAACCAAAGGAAAGTGACCAATGCAGCAGCAGTGAGTGTAGTCAAACTGTGCATTTAGGTGATAAAAACACTAAATCCCAACTCTAACACTATGCAACATATCCCTGTAACGACCTTGCACTTGAACCCCTTACGTTCATCCAATTAAAATTTTAAAATGTTGTACAGTCCCCATGCCATTTACTCTGAATCACAGTCACCTCCTGACCGAACGTGGCTTCTGATTCTCTTACCCAAAGAACGTTGTCTCCTTGGCCTGGCCATCTTGTGGCTGTCATCCTTTCACCTGGCCCGGCTGGCCCTGCCACATTTCTTCCTGTGGCTGTGTGTCCAGTCACCGCAGAATGTGCTGGGTGCGTTTCCACGTGGAAAAGGCCTTGGCCAAGGCGAGGAACTGAAGGGACACCGTTATGAAGCTGATTCAGGAAGACACCTGGCTCTTCTTACAGGAGACAACAGGAAGAAAGTGTCAGGGATCTCACGGGGACACTTTCTGATGCTGAGGAGGCTTCCCCTGTACATTCTTCTCTCTCTTTGCCACAAGCAGGTCACCAAATATGTGCCAGGATTGTACCTGGAAGGCTTCCTGGGGATGTCTTCACAGAAATGTCTGCCAAACCCATATAATCTATCGTTCAACTGTGCCTGTTAATATTTGCCTTTGTTCATGCCACAGGGAAGCCAATATGGTCATTGAACAGCAGGCCCGAGAGCTTGCCCAACTGAGGCAGACGTTGAAAGAGGGGAGAGATGGCTCATTTCTCCTCAAGGAACGTCTGAGGGCCCTCCTCATCCAAGGACAGCTGCCAGGGCCAGGGCCTCTCTGAGCACCTGGCGGAGGGGCGCAGGCTGGCAGAGCACCTCGCCCGCATGCTCAGCCCAGGTAAGGTGGCCCCAGGCCTCGTGACTCTGAGCTGCTCCCAGGTGCCAGCTCACAAGACACTCCACTCACCATGTGGGTCTTTAACTGGCTGTCCTGGTTTGCACATCACATTTATGGCCTTGACTGGATCAGAGCTGGCCGAGCAGAGGACAGAATGCTCAGGGTGGACGTCCCAGTGTTCCCACTCTGTCCTTCCTCCAGATGCATCGTGGCCTTTGGGTGAGGAGGCAGCCTCCATCCCCTGTTAGAGTTTATTTTTTAAAATCCTAATCTGTATATTCCATAGAGATCCCATGCCTGAGTCTGGTTCTCATGCATCTATTCAAATTGTGTGGTTTGTCTTCTGACATGTTAATTTTCAAATGAAAGTCAGACATGATGTTCTGCGTAGAAGGAATTGAGGTAAACAGCTGTGTAGTGTGAGTTTGTCTGTCTGGCTGACCAGGGGTTAGTTTGTGTTTACTGTTTGCAGTAGCTGTAGGTGACAGAGTCTGTAATTTCCTCCAATGTTCTTCTTCTTGTCTCCTCTGTTGTCTTGGGTTTCCCTAGAGAGTGCTCCTTAAATAAGGAGGGAAATATACAGTTATTGTGGCTGCATTTTTCTGTCATTATATGGGAGCCCTAAAGATGAGCTGGTGAGGCGTGGAAGAAGGGGTGGCAGTCCCTAGTCTCATGGTCAGGTCTCAGTCTTCAGTGAGCCTGAGTCCCTGGACTGTGACCTTCACAAGTCAAGATCTGCTTCCACTCTTCCTTCTTGGGGGAAAGAAGAAGCTTAGAGGCACCTGGGCTTGGAGAGTCTCCTTCCCACAGGCCTGGTCAGGTCTGGGAAAGCCCCAGGTGGTTAAGCTCTAGTCAAATCCTTTGTTTGGAGAGTAGGATTTGTGAGGAAGGCAGAATGCTCTTGGTATTGTTCAAGCAGCTACCAGCACCCCTCCCTTTTCCAGATGCATTAATAGGTTCCTCTTTAATCTTCACTATGAGAAAATGGTTGGGATCTTTATCATCTCCCATAAAGATTTGGGCATTTCTTTGAGTGCAACCTCCTTTTGTTTTATTTCTCATATTTCTGCAGACTCGTTCTCCAGCAATTAGTCAATTATGCCTTAGGTTTTCTTACCATAGAAACGGTCCACCTTTAGATGTATGTGCTGGTGTTCGGCTCTAACGGTGGCCGTTGTGTGTGTTCACTTGTCCTCACCTCCAGTGTTTGCAGGAGCAGTCTACCCTCTTCACTCCACGCTCTGACAGATGCAAGAACTGTTGGTGTTTCATTTGTTGAGGTTTTTCCTTGTTGTGAGGACAGGAGTGATGACTTCCATTATTCTGACATGCTGGACAAAACACTGAGATTCCTCCAGATGTCTTCAGGAAAGAGAGATAGTTATTTTTTTAACTTTTTAGAGGACTTTCCCACCATGCTTGAAAACAGTCTTTACAGAAGGATGAATGCTGCAGTTGTAGAAATCCAGGCCAGCGTTAGAAGTATATTGTGAACTGTCAAACAGAAGAGATTTTAAACATTTATTTTCAGTTTCCACAACTGAGAGCTGATGGTAATGCACCAGATCAGGCAACCTGTATCTGGTACATAAGAAAAACAGGCCAAGCCATTAATTTAAATATGAAATATGAGACATGTGCCTAATTCCATCAGTGAACCTGTAGTGTCCTGCACTGGTATTTATGTCCCCCTTCCCCAATAGCCCACTGTGTGTGTAGGGCTGATGTGGAGCTACTCAATGTCTGACTGGACGTTTCTGAGTTTGTATGCAGAAAACCAAGATGAGGAGGATGAGAAAGAAGAAGAAGCACCAGCCCCCAGGTAGCAATGAATAAGCAGGACCTGGGGGAGGGTGGGTAAAATATGGGCCAGCCCAATTGCACTGGCCAAGATGTGAAAAGTAACCACAGATTTCACAGCAAAGGGACCTGAAACTGCTTGTTCTTTAATGACATTCATGCAACCAGTGAAAAACTGCTTCCATTAACAAGGTTGTTTACTGTCTTCAAGGTACTTCCCAGTAACTAAGGAAAACAAATCAGTCTTAGGGATTTCTACAATCACAGAATCTACCTGTTCTCTTTCCCATGGCTGAACTCAGTACAAGATGCTCATCTGCTTTCTGCGTGGTTGGCCTTCGATTTTTGGAAGTGAATCTATAGCAAGGGATATGAGCAGACTGAAATATTTCCATGATGTCACCGTATGGCTAGAGGGAGTCCTAGAAGGTGCAAGAGCTCCTGAACCTACAGTGTCAGGAGCCTGTGCTCACTGTGCTGCTGCGGGAACATTCCACACTGTCCACACATGAGGCTCAGCCAGTGTGTGGCAATCTGTGTGTGCTGCCTGCCAACACTGTGCCAAAGGGGACAGTTGTGTCCCCTTCCTCACCATCTCTTTATGTGGCCAGTGCACTGAGCACTTACTCCTCTCTCACTCCTGCCCTCGAGCCACCCACATTCTTCCTTCATCATAAGAGGATGGTTTTCTCTCTCTTCAAAAGGACAGCCCCTTGGCCCCTGTGACTAGTCCTTCATGCCTCTAATCAGCACCACCTAGAATCTGGTGTCCATCCCTCTTGGTTTGGTCCTATTCTTTATTCCACCAGGCTGAGAAGAGAGGTCCAGGAGAAGGAGAATGGAGTCCTGTGGGACCCATTAGATGAAGGCCACCTGACTTCTCCTAGTTACCATGACCTGTTTGATACCAACCAGCCCTCATGCACCAGTGCCATCCTGTTTGATGAGCAGGGAGACCTCTGTTTGCTGGATGCAGCTAGTGAGTCCTCTATTATAAAGAGAATGCACTCCAAATTGTCCGAGAGGTAGACTCTGTGCCTGCTGGGCTCCAATGGCAGGTTCAGAACAGGAAGACACACAACCTGAGGCCTCCTGGAATATTCTTCATAGAATACTGTTCTCACACCAACAGTACTTTCCTCCATGTATTACATAGGCCCCTGAGGCCCCTGAGTTGATCATGAGGCAAGTACCTGTTGTGACTGCTCCTGTCTGACTGTATTTGTAGCAACTCAAAGTGATGAGAAAGAAGAGGAAGGACAAGATCCCGTGGAGCCCAGGTGAGTGTGACAGTCATGGGCTGAGTGACACGGTGCCACCTGGCGATCTCTGCTCCAGGGAACAGCAGAGAGACCTGAGTAGATCTACTCACCCATCCTGCCTGGCGAGAACGTGTCTGTCGACCTGGTGGTTTTTATAGTTGTGCCCACTTCCTACTAAGTTCTCAAATTTAAGAAGCTGGAGTCCAGTGACCCAAGATGAACTAACCAGTCTCAGGTGTCCCTGCACTCAGGGTGACCCCTTCCCTGTCCCATGGGAGATAACTGGGGGAGAGGCACAGCTTCTGTCTGCAAGGGTGGCCTTAGGCTGTTGGCAGTGATTCCATTGCAAGTCGTATAGAGGGACAAGAAACGAAGAAGGAAAAATGTCCCGTCGTTTCCCAGTATTGAGAGAACAAGGCCGAGAAGGGCCAAGATCTCTTAGAGTCCACGATGCCTCAAGTGCTTTTATTCACTGCAATGGGGTGCGTAGAGTGGAACTAACATGCACAGGAGCAGCAGCAAGTGTCACGGTCCCCTGTGCCGCATGTCCTGATGCCCCGTGCAGGGGACGGCCGTGTCCTTCCTCGTCACTATGCCACGTGGCCAGTGCACTGAGCACCTGCCTCTTCCTCAGTGCCCCATGGCAGCCCCCCTGAGCCGCAGTCCTAGGAGGGCTGTTTTCTTCTTCCTGTTTCCAGGGGTGGCCTCCCTGCCCCTGGGACCTCCGCCTTTGTCTCCTGTTCAGGACCGGCTGGGGACGCCGTGCTGCCCGATCTCGATCTGTCTCTCGGCTTAATATTCTCTCCTCCCACCCCCAGGCTCAGCCGGGAGGAGGAGGAGACGATCCCACCCCGCAGACCTCACCGTGGGAGCAGCGTCTCGCTCTCTCCAGCGGCCACGCCGCCCGAGTAGGGAGAAGCCCTCGCCTCCCGGACACAGCTGGCGAGTGTGTCTAAGTCCCAGTGTCCTCCCGGGTGGCCTCCGTATTCTCTGTGCCCACACCTGTGTCCAGGGAGAGAGGTGCCGACAGGCCGTGGAGACGCACGCTGGCTTGGATCAGGGTGGCATTAGGCACTGACATTAGGAGTGTCAAGGAGCCGGGCGCTTGCCCCAATCCCAGGCCACACACGTCACCCTGGGACTCAACGACAAGGTCACGGTGGGCACCACACAGCTAAGCAGAGTGGGGAGACTGAGGAAACTGTAACCCACTCGCAGCCATCGCTGATGCATGTGCACGGCAAGGTCTGCGCTACCCAATCCTTCATGTGGGGACGTGTGATCTGTCCCGCAGGGTGCTGGTAATTGCTAAAAAAAAAAAAAGCATCAGTGACTGTCCGAGTGGGTTGGTGTCTTGCCTGTGTCTGTGGAGACGTTGCTACCGCAGTTCCTGTATTCCAGTCACAATCCCTCTGTCCCCTCCAACTCCACTGACGCCTGCCAAGGGTGCGTCAGAGTACCAGAGCAGATGCACCTGTCCCGGCCACCACGGCTGGAGTTGTCCTCGCTATCCACATGGGTGCTGACACCTCCCAGCTCTGTGAGCCGCGCAGGATCCTGGGCTCTGAGGCACCAGATCCTCCTTCCCACAGACATCGGTGCTCACCGTCCTGTACATTCCACCCCCGGTGTGGTCTCAGTGCACAATCCCACCGGCGACAGCCCCCGTATCTATAAGGCGACAGCTGAATGCAGCATGAACACCACGTTGAAGGCAGCTACGCACGTTCCCCGAGTCTCTGGCAAAGACGACACATTTCACTGTTGCACCAACTGGGGCAGAGGGCATGGGAGGGTGACGTAGCAGGTGACTCAGCAAAGCAGGCCCAGCCCCGTCCCTGGAGGCACAGGCGGAAGCCGCCAGCTGGGTTCCCTGAAGAATGTGCTCGTCTTTTTTCCTCGAGAGAACATTTACATCCCCGGGATCGCACAGGGCTTTGTGTGGCGTGTGAAGCAGGAACTGGATGATACGGCTGGCTTCTCTAAATGTCATTGCAGAATGTTCAAAATGAGAACACTGCCGAGGAGGAGGATGGAACAGAGCCGATGCCCTGCAGGTAACTCGCAGTCGAGGGCTGTCGGTGCCCTGGGACATCCGAGGGCCACACCCAGGACAGCCTGAGTGTGCCGAGTACACCTGTCTCCTTCATTCGGCAATGAGCAGTTTTACAGTGTCAGCTGTTTTCTTGGTGGTTCTGCCCTGGTTTCCATTTTCCATTGGTTTCTCAGCTTTAGTAACCCAGTGCCAGGTAGACTGGAGGTGAACTGATCACAGATATTCCTGAACTCAGGGAGAACAATGGATCTTTCCCACATGGGGAAAACCAAGATGAGATGTGCATATTTTTTTTTTTTTTGCAAGGGTGGCCTTAGTTATCTGCCAGGGATTTTATAAGAAGAAATGTAACTAGACTGAGCAAAATCACATGAGGTCACAGTATGCAGGGATCAAGGCCTGCAATGCTGACGATCAGCCCAGCCTTAGGGGTCTCCATTCACTGCCCTGCTACAAGTGGAGGGGACCCACCTTGCAGCAGAGCCATAGCAAGTGTGACAATTCTCCTTCTGTGCTGCTTGTCACAGTGGCCCCAGGCAGTGGGAGAGGACTGTCCTTCCCGGACAGCGAGTCACGTGGCCAGTGCTCTGGGCACCTGCTACACTCTCCACCCACACCTGCCCTCCCAGCCCCGTTCTGCCTTAGGGGAGAGTGGTTTCCTACCTTCTCTCTGGAGGGATGTCCCCTGGGCCTCCTGGGACCTCTCCCTGAGGCCTCCAATCAGGAGCCGCTGAGATGCTGCATTGTCCAATCCTTCCTTGGCTGATAGGGTGCTCCCCTCCCCCTCTGCCCTCAGCAGGGAGCTGCGGGAGGAGGCCCCAGTGGACCAACTGGGGCAGAGTTCCCTGGATGCTTGCTACTTGTCCCTTGCCAGCGGCCAAGACTTCTTTGATACCCACTGGGCTCCAGACAGTCCTGCTTTCGAGACTGATGACATCTGGGCTGCTTGGGAGATGGAGAGTGAGTCCTCCCATATCGAGGAGGAGGACCCCAGGGGTGTCCCCGGCAGCCTCCATAGCTTTGTGCCCACCCGTCGATGTATAGAGATGACTCTCTGCAGCCACGTCCCGTAGGCCACCTCCACTGGGACCAAAGTCTAGTCCGAAGTGTAACCACAGACATTAGGGGTGTCGGGGAGCTCTGCACTCTTCCTAGTCCTTAGAGCACACGAGTGTCACTCTGGCACTCAGTGGCAAATGCAGGCTGTGGGCACCACGACAGGCCATAGTGGGGAGAGTGGGGGTGTCCCGGCCACTCTGTCCCTTGTGCTCTACGTGCACGGAATCCTCAGACAGATGCTCCTTATGATGAGATATCTCCTCTCTCCTTCAGATATCTCCTCTCTCCTTCAATTACCCTTCTGGGTAATTCTCATTTCTCAGCAGTATTTCTTTGGCACCTGTAGCTCGTCAAGTAGGGTGACAGTCTTCCCTGTAAGTTTCCATGGAGATGGTGTGCCCAGGGTCCCTCGGCTCTGAGCTCTAGTCCCTGTCCTCCAAGTGGCTTGTCCTGCGAAGCTGCATCTGAGCACTGGAACATAAACCCCTCCCTGGCCTTGCCTGGGTGGGGGATGGTCTCTGAAGGCTCTGACGTCCCCACCTCTATGAATGGCCAAGGGTCATGGCTCTAAGGAGGACCCGAGACTCTTCTTTGTGAGAGTTTGTGTGTTGCATCCCTCAGTCTAATGTCAGGGACACTCTCATGTCCATCCGCAGCAAACAGGGGATCTACCAGGACAGGTGACCCCCAGAACACAGCGAGCAAGTTCCCCGTGATCTTGAAAATGAATAATACGTGCAGCTACTTACCCGGGTGTAAGCAGTGCACACGCGTTGAGGGTCTGTCATAGCAGGCACCGTCTGTTCGGTGGCTCAGGAAAGCAGGGCCAGCTCCTTCTTGCAGGACACATCTAGGGTTCCCTGCAGTGTCCTTCTCAGAATATCTTTATTTCCCCCAGAGACTATGTGCATCCCTGTGTCTGCTCTGTACAAAGCAGAAACCGTGGCATGTGACTGTGTCACCTTAATTCATTTGCAGAAAACCTGCACGATTCTAAGGATGAAGAAGGACAAGAGCCAGCGGTCCCCAGGTGAGTCTGACAGTCAAGGACTCCTCGTGGGGACTAAGGCGGCGTGTGGGCATCTCATCTGGAGATGCAGGGAAACAGATCTGCTGCGTATTCCTGTGGCCTCATCAGCTGACCAGGAAGGGTCTGTATGAGGAATGGTGCTGTCGTCCCTGCTGTTCCTGTGTCGACTGCCACTTGCTATGAAGTTCTCATGTTGAGTAACGTAGAGTCAGCCCGGTGAAGTGTCATCATTCATGGTTTCCATAGTCACAAACAAATACGACCTGTGGTTAAAATCAGGGAGGCAGGTGTCCCTGCCCTCTTCATTGTGGGCCGAGCCTGCTGGCAGGTTCTCCAAAGCAAGCAAAGTAACTAGACGGAAAGAATGTTCGTATCAAGAAGGCAAAGCAACTAGGTATGCAATGCCCCAGATATAAACCTGCCTGTGCAGAAATGTCAGAAAAAGTGATGCGCATTCTGCAAACGTGTTGCAGGATTCTGTTGAAGAGCTGCCTGGGGTGATAGTCACAGCATCTCTTTCAAAGTCCTTCCCACCTGTCATTACCCCCTTTCCACTCTGACCTTTTCTTTTCTACCCGCCCTAGGAAGTACCGCGTCCTAATTCAGGATCAGGCGCGAGAGCTGACCCAGCTTCGCCGGAAGTTCCGGGAAGGGAGAGATGCCTCCTCCTGCCTCACTCAGCACCTGGAGGACCCCCTCACACAGGAGGACAGTGACAACTCCCAGGAGGGCCTGGCGGAGGGGCGCAGGCTGGCAGAGCGTCTCACCCGTGCGATCAGCCCCGGCAAGGAGGACACAGGCCCTGATCACACACAGTCCCAGGCTCAGGAGAGACTCCAAACCTCCACGGGTGACACTGGTCACTCACTTGTCCTTTCACGTCACATCTGGGGCCGTGACAAGCTCAGGACTGCCTGGCTGGGAAGATGGGACAAGGGCACTGGCTGGAGGCCAGGGTGGAAGGACAGGAGGCAGCTTGTTAGAGTGGAAAGTTCTGGACGGAGAGTTTCCCAGGCGGTGTCCCCAGTGCCGCCCCTCACTCCACGGGAGCAAGTATCTGGTTTCTCCTTCTTGGAGTTTTGCTTCTTCTTCTGTAAAACGGTGGCCAAGCCTTGCACGGTAGCCGTAGCGATGCAAAGTGGGAACATGTACAGCTGCATTCCGACAGGGTAAAAAGCCCCTCAGTGTGTGGGCTGGGTAAGGCCCGTGGGGTAGAGGAACTTGCTGGCAGGAATGTTGGTTACACTGAAATCCTTTTGCACGCAGAGAATTTTCCTGGATGAAGCCACAGAAGCCGACTCAGGTGGACAGAGGGACTTGGGATAGGAGTTGGTTCTAGAACACAGCTGGGCTGGGTCCAGCTTTGCGGCAGGAGGGCGGGTACAGACGCAGAGACCAGAGGAACCTGGACAAGCATCTGGTGACCTGGAGAACAGAAGGGGTGTTTAACCCTTCCCACAACTTTAGACAGAACATGCAACAAAGTGACACATGGGATCAAAGAGACTTTTTGTGCTGGGTCATGAAACTGAACCAGGCCACTTCTTGATAGAGAGACAAGACCTTTCAGTGTGTCCTAAAATCACACATAGATATTGATGTCCCCAAGCCCAGACAGGCCACTGTGTCTATGATGAGTGACAGAGAACTACGTTATGTCTCACTGGACATTTCTGAATTTGCAGAAAATCCTGCAGATGAGGAGGGTGAAGAAGAAAAAGAGCCACAAATGAACGACCAGAGCAGGTAATGTCTGCAGAGGGTTCTAGAAAGAGCCAAGGGGAATGTAGCCACGTACACGACGCAGGGGAAATATAAACTGCTGATTTTCCAACTGCGTTTTCTCAGCCGCCAGTGACGTAGCCCCTTAAACATGGCTGTGGATTCAGTTTCTGGAGCTTTGAGTTTGGTCTCAGCCGAGGGGAATGAGCCAGGCAGGGCCTCCCTGTCCCCACAGAGGCCACCTGGTCCCCATGTGCAGCCGACAGGCAGGTGCGAGTCACCCTCGCTGTCCACTCAGTGCATCTCAGGTCTCTACCGGAATTTCACAGCAGGAAGGTCAGTAGGCAGCAAACATGTCGTGTCACAGTGTTGATATGAGAAGGCCTAGAAAGTTCCGAACCTGGGAGTCCACAGGTTCTCAGGAGCTGCGATGGCTTCCAGAGGTCACACTGAAAAAATTGTGCAGAGTTGCCAAAAGTGTTCCAGAATTCTCTTTGGAAGTCTTCAAAGGCATAGCTGCCATGAAATCACTACCCAACCCCTAATGACTTATCATTCCCTGACTTCTAATTCTACATTTCTCTTTTTGTCCCGCCTTAGTGAATTGGACTTCCTCGTTGAGGTGCAGGTGCGAGAGGTGACCTGGCTTCACCACCTGTTGAGGAAAGGGAGAGAGGCTTCCTCCGTCCTCAGTGGGCACCTCCAGGCCCTCCTCACCCATGAGCACCCTGAGGACCCCCAGGGACAGGGCGGGCGAGAGCACCTGGCAGAGGGGCGCAGGCTGGCAGAGGGCCTCACCCGCTCGCTCAGCCCAGGTGGGTGGCCACAGCCCTGGTGACTCTGAGCTGTTGCCAGGTGCCGGGTCTCGAGAGACTTCAACCTCTATGCATACATTTCCCTGCAGTCCTGCTTTCATAATTTGCTTCCAAATTTCCAAATCTGTGGCTGTGTCAGGCTCAGTAGGGCCTGGGTGGGAACAGAGAAGAGAAACTCACTTGGGGTGAGGCCATGGCCTTCCAACTGCCACTGTCCTCCCTGTGGAATGTGGCCTCAGGGGCAGGAGGCAGAGTGTTAGGGAGCACCGAGCCCTGCACTAGAGTGACAGTCTCTCCAGCTCCTGCCTGAGTGCTGAGCGCTGGCCGTCACAGCTGTGGGCGAGGGTGGATTTATCCTGCGTGGACTTCTCTTCCCTCATCTGTAACTGCTCACGTAATGTGCCGCTTGGTAGCTGTGACTCTCGGATCAGCGAGTGCCCAGGGATGGACGTCCAGAGGGGACAAAGTCTCTAAATGTTGGGGCTGATCTAGTTAAAGCAGTGTCCCTGTGAGTCATCTAAAGGGACATAGAGCCCTGAGCCTCCCTGTAGAAAGCCGGGCACATGGCTAGAGAAATCCAGAAGAAACCTTGCAAGTATCCAGCGATCTTGAGACCCAAGTGTGTTTTAGCTTTTCCCAATAAAGTCAGAGCTCACCATGACAGTGACCTGCCATATCAAGCACGTTTGACAGGATGGGTCAACATGTGGCCCCTCCTCACGGCTTTGACGTCAACAGACGAGATGGGTGCGGTTCTCCAAGGGTTCCCTGAACTCACACGGACAGTCTGTCTCATGCCCAGATAGGCCACGCGTGTGTCAGGGTGGAAATGTGGAAATATTTAATGGTGGAAATATTTAATGTCTGCACATTGCCGAATTTGTTTGCAGAGCACTATGAGGATGAGGAAGAGGAAGAAGATCTAGAATCACTGGCCTCCAGGTAATATTGAATTATCAGAGACTAGAAGCAAAGGTACAACATGGCAGGGCACGGTGGTGTCCAAATGACAGAACATGAGGTCCAAGTTTCCAAAATTTCATAATCGAGGGAAACGGAGGCTGCTGGTTGTCCTGACGATTCACTGCCCGGAGCCGGCAGAGCCTGCAGCAAGAGTGTCCTCCTCCTTGTCCCGTGGTCTGTCTCTTTCGTGGCTCTTGTAGCTCAATGTGACCAAGGGAACTCACCAGTGTCAGGGGCATCCTGCCCGTGGATAGATCGAGTGTTCTCCCGTGTGAGGCTGTGACCAGCAGGTGTGCATGTCTAGTGTCCACACTGTTGCCTTTGGTCGGTGACAGGAATGTCCTCGCAAGCAATGTGACCAGACCAAACGGTCTTCCCATGGCACAATTTTGAAACGCGAGACGTAGAACGCACAGGATCTCAGGGAGTCTGTGGTGCCTCAGGCCCTGTGTTCCCGGCACTGCTGCCTGGGAAATTCACCATGGTCTGTGCACAGGGTGGACCCAGTGTCATGGGTCCCTGTGTGCCGTGTGTCCTGCCTGTACCGACAGGGCATCTGGTGACCCTTCCTCATCAGCTCCTCAGCGTGTCAGTCACTTTGCACTAATGTGTGCTCTCTCTCTCTGTCTCTCTCTCTCTCTCCCCCCCCCCCATTCCCAAGACAGCGAGATGTGCCCAAGGCAGAGGAGGAGGTGTCCTGCCTTCTTTATGAAGGGGGAGCCACATGCCATCGGACCCCACCCTCCTGCTTCCCGTCAGACCCCGAGGGCTGCTCAGGGGTCTCGTCCCTCCTGCCTCCATCTTTGGCTCTTCCTCTCAGCAGTGTCCTCAGTGAGCTGCAGGAGGACACATGGAGTTGCGGACTGTCACAGGCCCTGAGTGAGCAGGACGTCCCTCCTGGTGCTGACCTGTCTGACTGCCAGGAACCAACCAGAAGCGCCACCTCCCTGTCTGATGGGCCTGAGGTCGGCTCTGTTCCGGATGGAGCGGGTGAGTCCTCCTGTTTATGAAGCAGGTCAGTCTCACTGGCGTTCCGGTGGCCTCCCTGCGCTGCGTGCTGGGTCCTCTGTGCAGGCTGAGCCATGTCCCTGCAGGCTGACACAGGCGACATTGTTGGTTCCTGTCAGGTGCTTGGGCAGATTTTCCTGCACAGAGATGAGGTGGGTCTGGGAGCTTTGCCGTCTTCCCAGCGCCTGGCTGTGTCCCTGCCAGCCTGTCCCCACTGCCCTGTGCAGGCCGCAGGTGCCCAGGCAGGTCACAGTCTCTGCAGCACGTGCACAGCATGTGCCCGAGCTCGCTGCTGAGTGTGGCACCTCGTGTCTCCTGCACATCCTGAGTGGCCCCACTCTGCAGGTGGAGCTGCAGCTCCATGGGGACCTGCCCAGGCCCCACTGGGGGAGTCGGGGGTGGGGTGGGGCTGTCACTGCTGCTGCCCTGAAGCACCACGCGGTGAGATTTTTTTCTATCCCCTGGCCCTGCATTTCCGCTAAGAGACTGGCATCTCTTCTACATTGCTTGTGGCTGCTACTACCCTCTGTGTGGCAGTGGATTTCACGTGTGTATGGGTCAAATATTGCAAACAGGAAATTGACAAGGCTCCAAAACCTTTGATAGTTTCCTTCATTTGGTGCATGATTTATAGCTGCTGAACACCCGTTTGCATGCTATTCCCAGTCCTTTCAGCTCTACTTCTGCTGATCTTTCTTGCTATGGGAACAGATCACTAGCTCCATCCTATGCCCTACAGCCTCTCTAGAACCTTCTCTCTAACATGAAAGACTAGTGTTAATAGGAACAGAATATGGGCGTGTCCCTGTCTGTCCACCAAAGCCCTGTGGGCTCCAGTGGCAGATTTCCCACTTCAGGGGTGCACAGCCTAGGCCCCGGCATCTCCGAGTCCCCAGACACTCACCCGACAGGTGGCATCTCCTTCGTGTACTCGACACGAGTCTTTCTGAGTGGCACGGTCACCGGGTGGTCTCACTGACCTGCAGGGACATCAGAGGTGGCTGTCCTGGGAGGACGCAGCAAAGACAGCACTAGCATTGTTCCCACTGAAGCCTCTTCTCCTCTTAGCTCCCACACAGGAGGCCTGTCCCCAAGGGCCTCAGAGTGGAGACATGCCTCCCTGCGTGTCACAGGTGCCAGCTTCAAACCCCAGGCTGCAGCCAGGCACCCTGGTGACCGAGTGTCTGCAGCTGCAGCGGGGCCAGCAGTGGGGTCGTGGCCGTGGCTTAGCCAGGTGCAGCCGACCCTGCAGCCCGGGAGCCTCGCAGCCAGCGCTGACTCTGCGCCCCCGCGGCTGCCGTTCCCAGGTAGGGAAGGACAGGGGAAAACAGGAGGCTCTAAACTGGGTGTTGCTGTCACGGGGCTGGGGGTGGCGGGGACAGGGAGGCCCAATTATTCAATGAAAGCTATCACTATGTCATATCTAATCCTTATATAATTCAGTGATTTGTCACTTACATAGTGATTTATTTACATGCAATTTTTTAACGATGTTGTCCTGGGCCCACAGGTCAGTCTCTTGATTTATCCAGGTTTTATTCCCCATCTTTAATCCTTTTTTATGAAATAAAGGGCAACTTTTTTTTGCAAACTGTCCAAATCAGTCTCCCCTGTGACCATCCATCTGGTTCGTCACCTGCACGCATGGCAGGGCCGTGTCCTCAGTTTCCTGCTCAGAAGGACCCACTTCTGCTCAGACTGTCTTAACACAGAGCTCCCAGCCCCCATTCCTATCCCCCAGGGTCCTCCCCCTCCTTGCTCTCTGTCCCTCCTCCGTCTCCTCCTGGGGCCTGTGGGGCTGCCTGGGGCTCCTCTGTCGGGCAATGCCCTCACCTGGCAAGCCCCAGGTGTCCAGGAGGAGAGGCGGGTCAGGAGCCCCAGTCTGGCCCCATGGGGAGGGCGCTGGAGAGTGCTCAGTGCACATCACAGGACGAGAATCCCAGACTCCTGCCCTGGCAACTCGTGTCACTGAAGTCTCTGCTCTTCCCTCTGCTCTGTCTTTTCCTTCTTGGATTCCCAGGAGTGCAGCTGAGACTCCCCCCACGGGCCCAGACGGTCTCTCCCCTGCTCGCTGGCCCGAGACCCCTGAAACCGAGGATGAGCGAGAGGAAGTCGCTGTTCAGCCAGTGGAGAGTCGCCTGCAGTTTCCCAGGCCTTCGGCTGCAGGTGCAGAGGTAACCCCACCTGCGGTCTCACGCGCATGCGCCCCATCTGCTCTCTGTGCCAGGCGACAGCCCCTCTCCCACTGCCCTTGCTCTGCCACGTTTGTTCCCTCCAACCGCTGCTGTGACCTCTGTCTGGTCTCGTGGTCAAGTTGATCAGTGACTTTGCCAGGCTAGCGGGTGCCTGGAATGTGCAGTGAGGACTCGAGATTGTTCCTTCGTTTCCGCCCTTGGGAACATGTGGCTCCCCAGGAGCGGCCCCTGCTCTGGCTCCCTCCTGCCTGCGAATGACAACAGTTGAAAGTGGGCACATTTTTGCTCACTGCAAAAAGTAATTTGGAACCTGGGTCACAGGCAGGAGACCTGCACTGGCCTCGTCACCTTTGTGTTCAGCCCCAGAGGTGCAGGGCTGTGTGGTGGGGTGGAGTTTCCAGGGACTCCAGACGTTGTGTACTCATTTGAGCTGACACTAACTGAAGGACACTCAAGGCACCCTAAAGTGACATCAGTGCAGAAGTAGTTACACAGGGCAGGACATGAACCCTCATAGACCATAGGGTGCTTACCCATCTGCTCTCTGTCCATTTCATTCCCATGTCTATCGCTACAAGTCCAGGAAAGAGTCCAAAATGCCACTCCTTTGACTCCTCATGCCAGAGGCAGTAAGGGAGCATTTTATGAATTAACTTTTAAAAATATGATTCCGGGGCAGCATTGTAATAGGAAGACCCCAGATGATAGACAGGAAAACAGGACAACATGCCTCAGGCCAGCCCCATTGACCAGAGACTGATGGAATTAAAACTGTCAGCAAGAAGCCTTGAATCCACAGGCAAAGGGGAAAAGAAGCCAATCTTGAGAGAAATGTGGAGAAAAGAGAATGAAGGGAAATCAGGGTGGTCCGGTCAGTGTCTCTGAATCACGCTGCCCATCCTGACAACCTGGTGAGATTCTAACTGCGATGGATGCCTTGAACTCACAGATTGAAATTCTCACTTCAGTGATCTGGGGTGTGGCTTGGGCATCAGTATTTTGAAAGGCTCCCAGGTGATTCTAATATGGGGTTGAGATATTTGAAAGATGTTTTTGGTCTTTGTCCCTTTTACTGGCATACGACTCCTCAAATCCTTGGAATCTCCAGCCAGAGCAATGGCTTTTTTATGGTAATGATGACTAAGGGCTGGCAGCCCCTAGGAGCTTCCAGGTGGGACTGGCCAAGGGGGAGACGAAGGTCACAGGGCTGCGACTTTCAGCCCCACCCTCCCTCTCCAGGAAGGGGAGAAGGGCTGAAGGTTAAGTTGATGGTCAATGGCCAGTGGTTGAATCAATCATGCCTATATAATGAAGCCTCCATAAAACCCCAAGCTACAGGGCTCAGGGAGCTCCTGTATATCTGCACATGGGGCCCATAGAGGGTGCTGCACCCTGGGTGGGGTGGAATTCAGAGCCCCTCCCCTATGGCCACCTTGTGCATCCCTCATCTGCATTGTTTGTAATGTCCTTTCTAATAACCAGTAACCATGTTTCCCTGAGTTCTGGGAGACCCTCTAGCAAGTTGGTGCAAACAAAAGACGGGGTGGTGGGACCCCAACTTGAAGTCGGTCAGTGAGAAGTCCTGGAGGCTGGGACTTGCGAATGGTGTCTAAGGGGAGGGTGGTTTGGGGACTGAGCCCTCATTATCCAGGTAGACAGAGTCAGAATTGAACTAGGGGACACACAGCTGGTGTCTGCTGCAGAACTGATTGATTGATTGCTTGGTGGTGCAGGGACACGCCCCACATTTGGTGACAGCCGTGCTCTGTGATGACGGTTGAGTGTGATGTGAGAGCAGAGAAGAGACACGGTTTGGGTTTTTCCAAACAGTTTCTAAAGGGAAAGCAGACAAGGGGCCACTGTGACCTCAGGTTATGGGTGTGCAAGCGGCCAGATGTGTGGCTCCTACACAGAGATGGCTGAGCATCCAGCAGCCACGATGGAATTCGTGTCCCCGCAAAGTGCTGTGTGTGCAACATGGGGTGGTGGTGGAGAAGAAACCAGGTGGACACATGGATTAGACCTAGAGTGGATCTACTTGAAAGCACACTTGCTCAACGTGCTTTGAATATAGGATCAAATAAGAAATAATCATTACATCAAAATCCACTGTACAGAAAACGATATCTCTTCTTATTACCCATAACAGAATTTAGTATTTTCTTTGGAATATTTAAAACAAATCCTGAAATTGACATTTCTCACATTAATATCAAGCCCATGAATATTGTCTGCACTACAACAAAAGGTTTTCGTTTCCCCTGTGGCTGTCACTGTTCTCTTCAGCCCATCCTACCCCAGGAGCCCAGTGTGGCCTGGGTCTGTCCCACTCAGCCATCGCCCCCTGACTCAGTCACCAGCAAGACCTCACAGACTCTCATTGGATTCTTTTCTTTTTCTTTTCTTTTTTTTTTTTCCAGATACCAAGTACTGCTGGAACTATGAGAAAACTAAAAGTTTTTCACAAAAAGTAGCATTCCCACTTGAAAAAAGCTACAACCGTTGACATGGATATAATTCAGAATAAATATTTTGATTTCCTTATTTATTTCTATACAGTACCCTTTTCCGTATTTTACCCTATATTTATCATAAAGACAAAGCATT